GAGCTGGAGGAGCAGCTGAGAGAGCTGATGGAGAGCTCAGGTTTGCAATCAGTTGATTCAGTACCCCTGGGAGGATCTTATCAGGAGTTTTCCTTATTCATCAACATATATTTGCATCAATGAGAAAGGTTTTAATTCTGCATGCAGCTCAGTGCAGCCCTGTTATCACAGGCAAGAGCAGAGTCTGAGCTCAGCACAAGTGATCCCTGGTAACATGACAGTGCTCTGAAGAGGGAAAATGCCACAGAACTGTCAAGGCAATTTATTATAGAATCATAGAATTTAGGAGTTGGAATGGACCTTACTGATCATCTAGTCCCAACCCCCTGATCAGGTTGCTCAAGAATCATCCAGCCTGGCCTTGAACACCACCAGGGTTGGGGCAGCCACCACATCCCTGGGCAAGCTGTGCCAGTGTCTCACCACCCTCACAGGAAAGAATTTTTTTCCTCACATCCAACCTAGACTTTCCATCCTTTAGTTTGAACCCATTACCCCTTGCCCTGTCACTGCAGTTCCTAACACAGAGTCCCTCTCTGGCTCCTTGTAGACCCTTCAGAGACTGAAAAGTTGCTCTGAGGTCTCCACACAGTTTTCTCTTCTCCAGGCTGAACAGCCCCAACTCCCTCAGCCTGTCCTCACAGGAAGATGCTCCAGTCCACTGAGCAACTCTGTGGCCTCCTCTGGACTTGCTCCAACAGTTCCATGTCCTTCTCATGCTGAGGACACCAGAACTGTGTGCAGGATTCCAGGTGGGTCTCACCAGAGCAGAGCAGAGGGGAAGAATCACCTCTTTTATTACTCTTTGCTATACACTGTTTGTATCGGTGAAAAACAGCAAATTATCAGTGTAAGAGATGGACAAACACTGGTTTTGGTGAGCATTTTTCAAATTTTCTGCACTATGCAGGACGAGAAGAAAAGCCTCATTAGGACTCAGCCAGGAGTTACAGAAGCAAGTCCTCAGCGAGTGATAGTGAAGCTTTAATGGACAACAAAATGAAAAAGGCAAACCAAGAATGTCCTTGCAAAGTATTTCATGACTTAGACTCAGAGAGAAATCTATGGGATGTGCCTGTGTCAGATGGAACATAAAATAGCAATACTGACAGTGAATAATGCATAAACCAGTGTCATCTTTCCAATCTTTAAAGCCCTCTGTGCTGCTGCGTTGTTTTTACAATGCCCTCGAGGAGAAGGATTAGTGCTATTATTGTTTCCATCCTCTAAAACATGAAACTGAGTCTTGGAGGAGCTGAACACTTTGCCTGGAGGATTTGCACTGCTGGATCAGAGCCCTGGAGCACCTGTGAGATGGAAATCAGTGTCAGCACAGCCAGAACAGCTGACAGACAGTGCTGTGACGGGTACAGCACCTGCCAGGTAAACAAATACTTAGTAAATGGTGGATGTGAGGATTTTCCATAGGTGAAACATGGAAATTCAGCCGATAGAGAGCAGAGGGGAGCTAGGGCTGACTCCTGATGAGGCTCTCCCAGCCAGAGGTCAGCCCTGCCTGGGCTGGAGGGGCTGCAGATGCCTTGGCTGGTGGGTGCCAGTGTTGGCAGTGCCTGGCTCCAGCTCCTCTCCCCGCACTCCCTGTGCCTGGGCACCGCAGGGACTCGAGGTTTGGTGCCGTGTCTGAGTCACTGGGTCCCCAGGGAAGCTCTGTTGGACATGAAACCAGCTGGTGACTCAGGGAGTGTTTGTAATAACGTGAAATGCTGGATTTCCTTCTTGGGGGCACATTATGCTTCATTTGCATCAGCTAAAGAAACAGTCTCGAGCCTTAAAATATCCTGAGACTCCCAGAGGATTTCCCTCCAGGGAAATCTGATCTTTCTCATTTCCACTGCCCTGCTGAATCTGATCACTCTGTGCCACAGAGCATCCTTGGCAATAAGAGCAGTGTGCCCATCCTCTGCCAGCACCTGCTCTCCGTCACACTGCCCAGCAGGCTGAGGGAAGGCTGAAGTGTGATCCCTTTCCTTCCAGTTTTCACAAAGCTCATTGCCTGGCAGCAGCACCTTTGCCTGGGGGAAGCTCTTCTAATTTGTTACTTGAAGTAGTAATTTTTCCTCATCAGGCTTGAGCTGCTGTTCCTGGAACGCCTGTGGGAGATCCTCGTGCACTGTCATCCCTGTGCTCCTCTTCCTCCCTGGGGCACAGCGCTGCCTGCAAGGGGCTCCGAGTCAGCTGAGGACAGGGTGGCAGAGCATCGCCCCTGGCTGTGTGGAGCAAATTTCCGTCTGCAGACTCCAGTCAGGAAGTGAATAAAAGTTAATTCTGGAAAGAGTCTTCCATTAGGCACAGAGCTCCGTCATTAGCAGATCTCCTCATCACAGAGGGGAAATCTCTTTGATAGAAGGAGCTGCAGCTGCTGGCAGGGCTGGAGGTTTGCTCTGGAGTGAAAGCAAGGGCTGGTTTTAATAAAAGCTGCATTTTGGAAAGGAAAAAAGTTGCCATGAAGAACACTCAAATCCAGGAAAATCGGCAGGGAAATTATTGTTCTCCTTTACAAAAGCTGTAGGAATTCTAATCACCTTTGGCAAGGTCTAAGTTCCAAAAGTAAGGAAGAAACATGGATGTCTCTGCTTAATTTATAGTAGTTGAAAAAGACATCACCACTCATTATGTGTTTTTTTTCCTCATTGAAAAATTGTAGAATCACAGGATGGTTGGGAGGGACCTTAAAGTCCATCCCATCCCATCCCCTGCCATGGGCAGGGACACCTTCCACTGGACCAGGTTGCTCCAAGCCCTGTCTGACCTGGCCTTGAAAAATGATAGACTATATAATTCTCAATTACATGAAATGAAATGTTTGCTCAGCACTAATTTCATAGTTCTTTGATGGAAAAGAGACTGATCCTGGCTGGGCTGCAGCTCAGCTCCAGGCAGTGCTGCTCGATCCTGACCCACAGCTCCACGCAGGGCAGAGTGGCACAGGCTCTGACAATGGATAGACACCCCCAGAACCACCCACGGCTCAGGGGGGCTGGATTTGCAGTGTGCAGATAAAATCAAGCCTAATGGACTCACCCCAGTGGCAGAAGCAATACTGGTGAGCCAGGCTGTGCCTGACACATCCTTCATGCCACAGGCCCAGGTGACCTGGATGCCAAGCCTAAAGCTGAACCACACATGGGTGAGAGACAGACAATATTAGCAGAGCTCCATTAGTGTTATTAATAAAATGAAAGATTCAGATGACAAAACATTTTAATTATTTCCCTCCTTCCTCAATTCAGTGTTCCAGGACTGAAGAAATAGTTTTCATATATTTTTTTTAAAGATGTTTTCTATTGTAATTTCTGAATTTCACACCTGGATTGTATTGGGAGAGTTCCTCTAGTGCTGGTTGGAACTGGGTCAGACCTCTGCAGGGCCAGGCACCTTCTGAAATTCCCCATGTTACTGTTTCAGAAATCTTATGAAATGTCCTGTGTGGTGGTGAATATTTACAGGTAACTGCAAGGTTTGGTATTCAGGAAATATCCTCTTGTGTTTTGGATAAATATTTGACTATTTCCTCTACCCTCAAAGGCAGCAAAACAAACACCCTGGGATCTCCCTCTGCCAGGGGCTGTTTTGATGGGTACAGGAGGAAGAGAAGGGACAAATCATCCCTGGCACATTCCAGTGCAATATTCCTCTGTGCTCTCCAAGAACATTTCAGGGTCTAATGACCCAGACCAGGAGCTCACTCAACCAACAGCCATGTGGAATGGGCCAGACCCTCAGTGCACAGCCCTGTCCCAGGGACTGAGCAGAGCTGAGTGAGGGGACACTCTCTCTTCTGGTCACAAAAGGGTCGAACAGGCTGTCACATAGGATGCCTTTCCCACAGCTTTCACTTTCCGCGTAGCCTCACCCACGCCAGGGATGGGTAATTGCTGTGGTGTTTCACTCCTCGGGCACTCTCGGGTATCGTCGGGTTTTTGTGTCACTGGTGTTGAGTTGTCATCACAGGTCAGACCTGATGATTCAGGAAGTAACATTTTTGATGTCGTTTTGAAACACGCTTCTGTTAACCAAAGCATCTTTCTGTTGTGGGATTTCTGGAGACAAACGCCTGTGGGGAATTATTTCCGGCTGGAGGAAAACCCCTCCTAGCCAGGTCACAAGGAGGAAGGATGAACAGCCCTTCTCCAGTGGCACGATCCACAGGGACTGGTATAAATAGAGGACTAGGGCCCAGAGGGATCACAGGCAGATCCTGCAGCCACCTGAGCACTTGCCTTGGGCTCCGCCGGCTCCGTGCGCTCTCACCATGAGCTGTGCCGTCAGGCAGGTCGTCACTACCTGTGCCCAGGGCAGAGGCAGCGCAGGCAGCAACGCGGCTGCAAGTGGGAGGAAGGTCTCCTCTGCCTCCTCGGGGAGACACGCTGCCTATGACTTGGGTGGTGTGGTTGGCAGCTTTTCCGGCGGCAGTTTAGGCGAGGGATTGCTGGGGAAGCAGCTGAGCGCAGGCAGCGCGGCCGGCGGGAGCTTCGGAGCCACCCAGAGGGCTTGTTCTGCCCTGGGATTCGGCGCTGGAGGCGTCTGCGCTCGGGGCACTGGTGGCTTCCCCAGGGCTGGCGCTGGCTGTGGGGATGGGATCCTCTTTGCCAACAACGAGAAGGCGACAATGCAGAACCTCAACGACCGCTTGGCCTCGTACCTGGACAAGGTGCGGCTCCTGGAGGGGGACAACGCCGACCTGGAGTGCAAGATCAGGGAGTGGTATGCCAAGGTAGGGCCCAGCTGTGAGCCACGGGACTACAGCTGCTACCACAAGGAAATCGAAGACCTTCAGAACCAGGTAAATCATTGTTTGTCGGGAAAACCCTAGTACTCCCTTGGGCTTTGCTTTCACATGGATAAAGCACTGTGGAAGGGCAGAGGGAATGGGTCTGGAGGGGCAGGTGAGGGAGTGGGTTAGATGAAAGGATGATCTGAGGGAGGGAGATTCTGCATTCCCTGAGAGCAGATGTTTCAGCACAGCTGGCTCCACCCAGCTGGCACGTGGGTTTGCCCACCGTGATGCCACTTGATTAATAATCCCAATATATGGCATGATATACAATACCCCACAGAGGTGTTTTGTCCAGGGTCTTCCGGAACCAGAGGAAGCTGCAAGCCTGAATCTCTTTCCTTATATTTTCTTTCCCAGATCCTGTGTGCAGCCATGGAGACTAACAAAATCCTTCTGAACATAGACAACAATAGGATGACTGCTGATGACTTCAGGGTGAAGTGAGTACAGCCCCGTGCTGGTCCATGGAGGGGCAGGTGAGGGGTGGTGATGGGGAAATCCCAACCCTCTGCCTGTCACGCTGTGCACTACAACACAGATCTCCCACACCGCTGGCAATGCTCATCGCACAGCGTTCCTGAGACAAAAGAACTTGATCCTAAAGTTTTTCCCCCAAACTAACTGAAGGGCTTGCCCTGCTTTGCTGATGTTCTGACCTTTCTTTGCTGCCTGTCGTTGAAGGTACGAGACCGAGTGTGGCCTGAGGCAGAACGTGGACGCTGACATCTGCAACCTCCGGCCCGTGCTGGACCAGCTGGCCAGCTGCAAGACCGACCTGCAGCTGCAGTGTGAGGCTCTGCAGGAGGAGATGTGCTGCCTCAAGACCAACCATGAGGAGGTTAGATCACCCCTTGCCCTTAGGGAATGAAGGAAGAAGGCAAGTCCCTCCAAGTGTCGATATTACTGATAGGGTCCTTAGGGAATGAAGGAAGAAGGCAAGTCCCCCCAAGCGTTGATATTACTGATAGGGAGCACCTATTCCTTGCAGGAGATGAGCTGTCTGAGGAAACAGGCGACTGGGGATGTGAGCGTGGAGGTCAATGCCTGCCCTGGCCCAGACCTGAGGAAGATCCTGGAGGATCTGAGGTGCCAGTACGAGACGCTGATGGAACGCAACCGCAAGGAGACGGAGCAGTGGTATGCCTGCAAGGTACCACGGCCATGCAGAGCTGCACCTGCTCTGCCCATGGGGAAAGGGGAAAATCAGGGGTTAGGGGAGGGCCTAGTACCAGCAATTGTGGCACAGATGTGCTCAGGTCTCATCGCACTGCCTGATTTCTGTGTTCTGTCCATGGCAGAAGGGTCACCACACTCTATTACAGGGTCAGATGGAATAAACAGGGAGCATCAGCCTTGGACATGCTCAGGGCACTGCAGGGTGTGGGGAAGGCCCTGCCACAGGAGGTGAGGCAAGTACTGCTCTTTTCTGGCACTGCAGGTGGAGGAGGTGAATCTGGAGGTGGTCACCAGCAGCCAGGAGATTGAGTCAAGCAACAAGCAGGTCACCGAGCTGAGGCGTCAGCTGCAGGCCCTGGAAATCAACGTCCAAGCCCAGCTGACCATGGTAGGTGATGCCACCACATCTCCAGCTCTCGTGCCCAGGGTCAGCCCTGCAGCCAGCCGAGCTGGGCTGGCAGCAGTCACAGGGACCTCTGTGTTGGTTCCGTTCTCAGAAGGAAAACCTGGAATCCTCTCTGACGGAAACCGAATGTCGCTACAACAAGTACCTGGTGGAGCTGCAGAACCAGATCTCCTGCGTGGAGCAGCGCCTGGCCGAGATCCGAGCGGAAATGGAGTGCCAGAACCAGGAATACAAGACCCTCCTGGACGTCAAGTGTCGCTTGGAGCAGGAGATCCAGACCTACCACTGCCTGCTGGAGGGTGGCCAGCACGACATCATGTAGGCAGACAGACCCCAAACCTCTGTGCTTTGCTTACAGGGATAGGAAAATTCCTGATACCAGTGGTAAAAGCGACACTGTGGTGAGGAACCAGTGCTGACCTGTGACCAGACAGGGCTGATTAGCAACCCATGAGGCAGTTGAGGATTTGGCTGAGATAAATGTCCAGGGTGCTTGCCTTGGGCCAGGGAGAAGGTCTAGAGTAGCCCCCAGAGCTGTCCCAGTCTCTGGCACTGTGCAGCAGCTCTTTAAGGGCAACTTTCACTGGGAGCTAGAGGAGGTCTCTGACTAACACTGTCACATAACTGAGGTTTATTGGCTTTGTCAGAGTGACAGCAACAATAAATTATCTAAACATTTTCAGTTTCACACAACGTTTTAATTAAAGTTTTGGGAAATTTAATTTGTATGCAAAGCAGCTGGCTCTGCCCTGCCTGCCATTGACTGAGGTTTTGAAACAGGGAGGCTGTTAATCCCAGACGTGGCTGCACACACAAAACCAGCCTGAGCACCCACCTGCTCCCTTCGTTTGGAACAGGAGGTGTTGGAATGGTGGTGCTTTGAGATGGGCTCCCCTGGACTCTCCAGTCCTAGATTGGTTAGGTGAAAAATCAGGTTTTGTTCCAAAATGCCCATTTCAATGGATGAAGTGACACTGCTAGTGCTCATCTCGGAGCTTGGGGTGATCCTGAGTGTCAGATGGAAAAGCAACAGGAACCAACAGGCTGGTGGGAGGGAGGTGGGAGTATTGGTGCTGCCAATGGGGTCTGGAGGGGAAATGGCTGAGAGACTGAGTGACTGAGAGAGAGCTAAAACCAGTGCACAGGTCAGGGGGAGATCTCCAGGGTGGGAATGCTGGAGTCTGGATCTCCAGAGCTGTCTCCTTCCCACAGAGGGTCAACGGGAAGAGGAGTCACTGCCACATCAGCTGGGAGGAGTGGAGGGCTGAAAGCCACTCTGTGCCAGCCCTGCCTGCCCTGAGCCCTGGGGCCCTCCAGGAACTGGTGAGTGTAACCACAAGCTCTCTTTAGTGCTGTGCACATGGGGAAGAGGAGGATGAGAGGTCTCCAGGCTGGAGAGACACCAGGCAGGAGCCAGGCACATAGGATCATAGCTGTGGCTGTTGGTGGTAGAGCACTGGGATTAACTGGGCTACTCTGTGCCAGCCCTGCCTGCCCTGAGCCCTGGGGCCCTCCAGGAACTGGTGAGTGTAACCACAAGCTCTCTTTAGTGCTGTGCACATGGGGAAGAGGAGGATGAGAGGTCTCCAGGCTGGAGAGACACCAGGCAGGAGCCAGGCACATAGGATCATAGCTGTGGCTGTTGGTGGTAGAGCACTGGGATTAACTGGGCTATGGTGGGAAACTGTGGCAAGGGATGGTGGGAAGGGATGGAGGGATGGGGTGGTAGAGCACTGGGATTAACTGGGCTATGGTGGGAAACTGTGGCAAGGGATGGTGGGAAGGGATGGTGGGAAGCAGTGGGAAGGGATGGTGGGAAGCAGTGGGAAGGGATGCAGCTGTGGGACATGTATAAATCTCCGCAGAAATGATGTTTGACACTGGGGGTGCTCAGCAGTAAATAGGTGTTTAAACAAGACTTTCAGCACAATGTGGGAATGTGGAACTGGCAGGGGAAGCTGTCAGCCACGAGTCTTTCAACAAGTATACAGCTGAGCAAAGCTGGGGAGAAGGGGAAAAGAAAGCTGAGCACAAGGGCAAGAGGATGTAAGAGAGAGACATGACAAGTATCTCTTCCTGCTCTCCCTCAGGTCACTGCAGACCAGAGTCCCCATCAGCCCCACTGCACAGCCCCTGAGGAGCTCTGTGGAGAACAAGTCATGTAGGAAAAACATCTGGCAAAAATAACCTGGCAGTTCTCAGTTCTGCTGCAGCACCAGTGCCAGGGACTCAGTGGGGTGGCACCTCCCTGCCACCCTGTGCCTGCAGCTGTCACCCCCTGGTGCCACTGACCCCACTCGGGCTCACCTGGTTTGTCTGTTGTCTAACAGCCATCAAGGCTTGTCTCTAATAAAACCTTGCTCCTCCTGACACAGCCTTGAACCTGGGAAATAATTTCTATGAGTAAATTAATATAAAAGGATTTTAAAAAGTTGCTATGCAGACGGAGATATTTATCCTAGACCCTTGGTTAGAATCCACCTTCCATCTCCATCCACACAGCCAGAGGAAAAGGAGAACAAGCCATGTTCCCATCAGTGCTCCTGCTGCACTCAGAGGCTGAGGATGGGGATGGAGCTCAGGAGGGTGGAGGACAGGACCAGCTGGTGCTGTGCAAAGTGATGTTTGCTACCAGAGGAGGAGGCATTTGCCAAGACATGGAGCAGAAGGTGATGAGGAAAGAAACGTCCAGAGAAGCTGCACAGAGGGCAGGGAGGGAGAGCAGTCTGACTGACAGTCTTCTACCAAGAGAGACCTCAGAGAGAAAAGTGAGTGTTCATTAAAGTAGGTGTGTGCTAATATAATGTAATATAATGCACAACACCTTTGAGTTGTGGATGCACACCAACAGGATCAAATCAAGAACAACAAGTTTTCCCAAATAATGTGGATGCAGGAATTTAGAAAGCCAAGCTCTGCCGGACTCTCCACACCCTTCTGGTGGAGGAGAACCATTCCCAGAGAAAACACTACAAGAAGAACCTCTAAATGGGTTTGTAGAAGAGGCAAACAGGAAGAACCAGCTGGCAACACGTGGGAAGATAAAAGGGTGAGACAAATTAATATGTGGGAGAGAAGTTTTTTAAAAGTGAGACACAATAAACAGTCAGGAAAAAAAAAAAGCTGGTGGTGTTTTATTACCCAGAGAAAGGAAAGACAAACACCTCCAGGAACACTAGTACATTTTGCTGTGTGTGCCAGCCAAGGCTCAGGATCCAGCTGGTCCCTCCTCACTGACAGCAGCGTCTGGGACGAGTGTCACAGCCCTCCCTGGCTCCTCATGGTGGGGCCCTTTTCTCTCATGACACACTGGACAGGGTTTGATGACACACCTCAGACAGAGGCCTGGTGTGAAGGCTTCAACAATAAGGCTTTGGTGGATGTGATGAGCCTGAATTAGTGCCTGTTTCTAAAAAGAGAAGCAGCTCAGACGTTTCTGGAATGACAACATGGATAAGCCAAAGCTTGACCACACAGAGCTGTTCTCTGGGCAGAAATCCCAGCAAGGATGGGGCTTTTCTTTCTCACCTGGGTGTCTGCACAAAGCCTTGTCTGCTTGAGCACTCCCAGGTCACAGTGACATCTGTGATGGTGCCCAGAGAGAGGAAGAGATGATATCAGCATTGGGCTGGAAGGAGCAAATGAGATGCACTGTGACTGCTCCAGCAGATGTGCTGTCCCACAGAGAGCAGGGAATGGCACTTGGGAATTACACCACCGTGGGGAAAAATCCCTGAGGAGTGAACACACCAGAGGTTTAAGGGATCAGTGAAGAAACAGAAAGAAAACAACTAGGTTTGCAAATTGGCAATGCTGGAAATCAGCCACGAGTTCCTGTGCACAGGCAATTACCCCTGATGAGAGGCTGCGGCGCTGGTAAACGCAGGCCGTGGTCTGGTGAGGTGGATGAGCTGTAATTCTCTATAAAAGTCTCTTTTACAGAGCATGCAGACAGGTCCAGCCTCACTCACACCCACAGTAACTACCTGTGGGGTTTAGATTTTTGTTTACTGCCTTGTGCAACATTTGTAAGAATTACAGCGATGAGCAAACTGCTGCTGTGACCCAACAGGAGATTTCTCAGCTCAGTGTGCTGGGTCATATCATCTAAACTGCCAGTGTAAGCCAATTATTGAACATGTATTGAAACAAGAGACTTTGTAGTACAAGAGTGATAGAAAGATAAAAGAAGACACTGTGGGAGGCTCTGGCTGGCTGCACCTTTCCTGCCTGGCTCTGTGGCACCTCTGGACAATGTCTGAGCACACAAAGCACCTGAACACAACACGTTGTGTAGTTCTGGCCGGACCCTGTGGCTCTGCAGCAGGACCACAGGCCAAAGCCTTGGTTCCCCTCCCACCCTACACTGTGCTCAGCTCTCTGGGCAGGAGTAGGATTGCTGCAGTTTCATCACCCACTACTGTTCCCATCGGTCCTAACAAATTATCTGGGACTCTTCTCTGCCATGATAACCTCCAGGGATTCCAGAGATGCATGTGCTGCACTGGCAGCATCTCTCAGGTGATGGAAGGCACCGACCCCCCTCACAAAGTGAATCAGGGAGGCTGTGAGCTTTGGTGGGAAAGAACCCAGTTGTGTCCACCTCTGTGTTCTGCTGAACTCCTAGTTCAACACTGCAGATGCTCAGAGCAGTCTGCAGGTGTGAACAGTCAGCAAAAAGGGAACTGAAACAGAATCATCCCCTCGGTCTCCGAGGCGTATTTAAGCTGTTACCAAACCCACTGTGGTAATTATTTCTCTTGCCTTACAGGATTTGGTGGTATAAACCAGTGAGTCACTAGCCAGGAAAAGGTCCTGGTCTGCATTTGAAAGATGGGAGCATGAGGCCTGGAGCCAGCTCAGTATCACATCAAAGAAGGGTTTAATAAGTGATGCCCAATGGCCATTATGCAAATCATTAATGGTAATTACAAGTGACAAGATAAAATCATATTCCAGTGTGGTTGCACAAACATCACTGAGGCAATGCTTGTGAAAGCAAAGTTCTGTCGAATCAGGCACACCTTTCTTGTAGTTGACACAAGAGAACATTATCAGCTGTGATAAGCAAAGCAGGGTGAGAGTGGTGGAGCCAGGCTGGCGCTCCACAGCCAGGCTGGGCACGGGGACAGCCACTGCTCCCACGGGGCCAGGCTGCCCTGCACAGCTTCCCCCGGAAATGTGACACCCTCCTGCCTCCCCCATCCCTGTGCATCAATATTTTCCCTCATCACCTCTCCCTCCACTTCCACATCTCTCCTCTTGCCCACTGAGCCCACAGGACTCAGCCGTGTTGGCACCGATGCTGTGTACGACCACTGCTAATGGTCCTGGCTGACAGCCTGTCGTGGCTTCCTGCACTTCCATCTGCATGAAACCATCTGTTTCCTCCTGTCTTACATCTGAGCTTGCAAATCCTTTTGGGACACGTTTATGTCTTAGGCTTGCACAGTCCTTTCCCAGCGTTCTGCCCCAAGGCTGTGTCCCGAAGCTATAGGATTGCACGTAACAACAAAAGTGGAGGCAAAGAAATCAGTTTGGTGGTGGGAAAAATCCTGCACCGAGGGATGTCTGGGAACAAGATGGTGGCTCCCAGCTAATGAAAACAGAACCACACACACCTCTGCCTGGTCTCAGTGCTGAGCCTCAGAGCCCTGACATGGTCACGAGGAGCAGGACAACACCACAGTGTGTGTAAGACACAGGTCAGTCAGGACTGGCTGCTGGGTGCACTTGCTGCATCAGACCCATGTTCCTTGTCCCCGTGAGAGTGGCAGGAGCACAGAAAGCTCCAAAGAATGCAATTGTATCCCAAATATGAGTACCTTGAAGGAGTTGTATGGTCATGTCTAATCTTCACTGGTAAAATGAGATTTGGGACCCTGTGGATCTTTCCACCAGGACATGTAAAAGGTTGTACAATGCTGCAAACCAGTTTGATTTGTGGAGCAAGACCTGTTCCTTCTTCCTCTCAGGGAACTGTTGAAGGAAGGAGGGTTGGGTGCTCTGTGCCCACCTCTAGAGAACTGTCCATCTGCAGCATCTCCTCCAAACCCAAGACCCTGCAAGGGAAGGAAAAGCAACCTCAGCACTGTCTCTGCAGGTTGCTGTTGGGTAACTGCTGAGAACTTCCAGAGCAGAAGCAAAGCTCCAAGCAAGCATTATATTAATTTCTGTTGGCTCCAGCAGCCACACCCTGTCTCCAATTATGTTCCTCTAAACGACGGATGAAAGCCAGATTTGCTCCCCATGCTCCTTTTTGCTCAGGATTTTCCCGACTGGGAGTCTGGGCTGTGTGGGGAACATGGGGGATGTGACTGGGGGGAGGATGGACTTGTATTTCAGGCACTGCAGTCTCAGTGCTCAGAGCTTCGACAGTCTCCGGCCCTGTCCTTGAGCAAATTCTTTCACTGCAGCACATGAATAATGAATATTCCTGGATGCTGCCAGCCTTGGGTAGGAGGCTTTTCATCATTCCTGATCCAAGTAAAGAAAGGAATTATCCCACTGCTGAGTGGAGAGTCCTAACTCATGCTAGGGTGGAGATGGTCACATCTAAACATGCGTGGGGACACTCTCCTACCATGGTGACAGAAGCCACCCAACTTCCCACCAGAGTATGAGGTGGCTGAGGGTATGAGCGTGGGTTTTCTCTACTCTTCCTCCCAGAGGTGATGCTGCTTTCAGGGCTCTCTCACCACCAACACCATCAGCACCACCAAGGATCTATCACAACTGCTCCCGTACATATGACATCCTGGAGACAAAATCTGCTTGTGAGTAAGTGTGGTGTGGAAATTCCATGCTGTAGGGAACAGAAGCTGTCATCCCCCAGAGAACAGAATATCCTCTCATTACAGAGTCTGCTGGAGAAGGATGCTGGCACTGGCAGGGCCAGTTCTCCTAAGACTCCCCAGCTTGTTCCCTGCCTGGCTGGGAGATCAAGCTCCCAGGACTGCCCAGGCTGAACTGAGTCCTGCTCCTGCTCCCACAGTTTCAATAAGATCTGCAGAAAACGTTTCCCCTTTTTGTTCTGTGCTCAGCACAATCTGTAACAGCAAAGTCCCACAGTCCACCCAGGGAACGGGATATATCGCCCATGGATACTCCCTCTCCTGTCACCTCTCCCTTTATCTACTGTCACCACAAATTGAGGCAGAGGGACAGCAATTAAAGCAATTGGACAATAACTTCAGTGAGATCCTTCCTACACTGCAGCTGACATCAGTGTGTCACCTCTGCACAGGAGACACTGAGCAGGGCTGAGCTGTGCAGTGTGAGTGACTTGACCTCTTGTGTTTGCATCACCAGAGAAATTTAAGCCATGAATAGGGAACTAAACCCATGGGGAATTGCCTCGGTGTCACTGACAGGTAACCAACATCCACACCAGTGTCCCTGGTCTTTTCTACAGTCACAACTGTCCACACTTCTCAGGAGTGAGAAATTCTTAGTTTCCCATTTCTGTTCCACGAACTTTACCACCGACTGTGATATAAAAATGGTTATTGCCCCCAGAATAAAATAAATACAAATTAATAAAAGATAAAAGGCACTTTGATGTTATAAATACCAATGTTTCTTCTTTGTACATAATCTAGGGCAACTTTTTTTCTTGACTTGTTACAAAGTTTGCATCATACAAAAAGCTGATGACTCACAAAACACTATTTTACTTTTTGGAATAAGCTGCTGACATGTAAAGTATCTTCCTTGTGAACTGGGATTTCTAGAGGGAAACTGCCTATGGGCTATTTATTCTTGGCATAAACAGCCAGACTAGCCAGCCCCGTGGGAAGAAGAAACACCACACAGGTGACACCCCCTGTGGGAGGTATAAATGGAGACCTGCGGCAGCCTCAGCCTGCAGTCGGACTCAGTATCACGCTCTGCATCTCGCTTTGGGCTTTGGCTTGGCGCTGCAGCTGGCCCCACCATGAGCTGTAGTATTAAGCAGACAACAGGCTCTCTCAGGGGCAGGACCAGCGGTGGCAGCTGTGTGATCGGTGGTGGCGGTGGTGGCGGAGCGCGGATCTCCTCGGTCTCCTCCGGAAGATACACGACCTGCGGGATAGGCGGGAGCAGAGGGTTCTCTGGGAGAAGCTACTGTGGTGGTGTGAATTATGGAGGAGGACTGAGCACTGGCAGCTTGGTTGGTGGGAACTTTGGAGGTGGCTTAGGAGCTGCTGTGCTCGGAGGATGTCCAGGCATGGGGTTCAGCGGTGGCAGCGCTCGCTTCGGCGGTGGCATGGGAGGTGGCATGGGCATGGGTCTCGGTGGAGGTGGTTTTGCTGGTGATGGCATCCTTCTTTCTGGTGACGAGAAGGTCACCATGCAGAACCTTAACGACCGCCTGGCTTCTTACCTGGACAAGGTGAGGTGCCTGGAACAAGAAAATGCTGACCTGGAGTGTAGGATCAGGGAGTGGTATGCCAAGCAGGGCCCTTTCTGTGAGCCACGGGACTACAGCTGCTATTACAAGGAAATAGAAGATCTTCAAAACCAGGTAACATCCCTGCCCAGCTGCTTTCTCCCTTGCAAGCCTCTCCCCTGGTGCTGGTTCACAACTTGATGCATTATCATTGTTGTAAAATGCCTTTTGCAAACAGCCATTGCAACCTCTGCCTGTGGAAAGCCTCAGAGCCCAGAGGCAAACCTGGAGGGTTCAGGCTGATCCCACTGCTTTTACTCATCAGGCAGACTGAAGGGGAAAATATCTTCATGGAATGCATGTGAATGGGCTCAGGAGTCTTCCTAAATTCAGTTATGCCCAGGTGTTTAAATATATACACGGCAAGGAAATAACTGAAAGATAAATAAATCATGGATTCATTTGCCTGAAATTATATTATTGCCATCAGTCTTGCAGAATTCCAGTTAAACTTGATTTCCTCTGTTTATTAATTTACTCTTTCACATAGAATTGGGAACTACAGGACATCTAATTAAGTCTAAGAACTGAGAGCATTGCCAGAGCACGCTGGAATAGGTGATTTAAAATTCAAGAGGTTTGTAAAGTGTGTCACTGCACAAAGGAGAAAAGAATCCAGGGAAGGGGCAAAATGAGACAGGCTTGTCCTTAAGTCTTTAAAGAAAACTTCAGATGTCATAGCCATGAAAATAAGAGTTAGGTTCAAAAGGCTGGGGGGGATTGTGGCAGGTGCTGGACACTAGTTACACCTCCCAGACTGTCTGCACCTGAACCATGAATGTTATAATTGTAATGCCTTCACTGTACTCCACTGAACAGTCCTGTGGGTGCTGCACCCCCAGAGCTCCCCCAGCCCTGCTACCCAGAGCTTTGCAAAGAGAGGGAGACAGAGGTTTGATCATACCAGTCAAGGAGTGTCCTTCAACCCAAGGGGACAGAGCAGAGACTTCAGGAGGGAATGTTCTCTTTCCAGATTGTCTGTGCAACCATAGACAACAACAAGATCATTCTGAACATCGACAACAGCAGGATGACAGCTGATGACTTCCGAGTGAAGTGAGTACCCTGAGCTGTTCTCTCCTCTGTCACTGCCCTTGGAGCTCTTGGGCAGGTCTCCTGTGACCCAGGACAGGCTGGAGGCTATGCAGAAAGGCTCTCTCACCCTTTGCCTCTACAGCTGCCCTAATTATGGGCAGTTCCAGGGTGGAAGGTTTGGGATGCCAAGCTGGTTTCAAGCAGTGATCAGAGCTGTTCAGGCAGCAGAAGGGATCTGCAGAGTGGGAGCAGTGAGGGCTGGGCTGAGCTGCTGCTCCAGCACATGGTGCCTTACAGAGGGGAAGGGTTTGGGGTTTCCTGTTGGAGCACAGGTATGCTGGTGCTGTCAGACACTGACAAGCCTTCTCCTCGCTGGCAGGTACGAGACGGAGCTGGCGCTGCGGCAGAGCGTGGAGGCTGACATCAACGGGCTGCGCCACCGCTGGTCAGGTCTGACCTGGAGTCACAGCTGTAGTCGCTGCGGGAGGATCTCTGCTGCCTGAAGAAGAACCACGAGGAGGTAGGGTCCTGCCCCTCCCCTGGACACAGCCCTCACTCCCTGGGTCCATCTCCTGCCTCGTGTGCCCTGGGAGCTGTGAGGGTGCAGCAATGAGGGGCAGTGCCAGGCTCTGCTCCTCCCTGCAGGGCGACTTGGCTCCCTCTGTTCTCTCCTGTTTAAAAACTGAGCTGATGTGGGTGCTGTCCCCAGGAAATGTGCTGTCTGAGGAAGCAATCGACTGGAGATGTGAGCGTGGAGGTCAATGCCTGCCCTGGCCCAGACCTCAGGAAGATCTTGGAGGAGATGAGATGCCAGTATGAGACGCTGATTGAACGCAACCGCAAAGAAGTCGAGGATTGGTACGAGTGCAAGGTGAGTAAAGACCCACAGCTCTGACTTTCCCTGGCCAACACCCAGACAATGGTCCCATAGGGGTTGATTGCACATTAAAACCACACCACAGACTGTAGTAGCACTTAATTCACATTGGCCAAATGGCACAGGGGAGGGACACTGATGCCCTCGGTCCTTGTCATGGGCTGAGAGAAGTGCTGCATGTCAATTGGACTTGAGGCAGGGATTCTTTACAAAGCAGTAAGTGGTGAGAAGAACTGTTAGCAGAACAAGAGGAATGACCAGCAGGGTTTACACTCCACTAGGATGAGAGTTTTTACCCAAACCTTTCTCATGTCATGTTTCTGATCACTTAATCTAACTTACACTGCACATTCCCTGAAGCTCTTTGTCCTGGCTTTCAGATTGAGGAGGGGAATCGGGAGGTTATTACGAGCGGTCAGGAGGTGGAAACGTGCAACAATCAGGTGATTGAACTGAGACGCCAATTGCAAGCCCTGGAAATTGATCTCCAGGCTCAGCTCAGCCAGGTGAGTGAGGAGCTGGTGTAAACCTCAGCCATCCCACAGAATTCATAGCTACATGCAGTGTTTCTCCTGCCTGTCTTTGCACTGTGCCCCTTGTCACTCCTCAGAGGGACAACCTGGAGTCCTCACTGGCTGAGACAGAGTGTCGCTACAACAACCACCTTGGTGAGCTCCAGACCCAGATCACCTGTGTGGAGCAGCAGTTGGCTGATCTGCGAGCAGAGATGGAGTGCCAGAACCAAGAGTACAAGATCCTGCTGGATGTCAAGTGCCGCCTGGAGCAGGAGATCCACACATACCGCTGCCTGCTGGAGGGTGGCCAGCAGGACCTTATGTAAGTGGTCTTGGGACATGCCAAAAATACAGTAAAATACCCATGGTCTGGTTATTTCAAAGGGCAGGACCTGCCCAGGTCCTTCTCCCTCACTGCCCTGCCCGGTGTCCGTGGTGGTGACCTCCCTCCCTCCCCTGTGCAGCTGCTGCCCCAGGGAGAAAGGTCACTGTGACATTCAGCCAATCTTCTGCCACAAAGGGAAACAGACCGAGAGCATCAGGGACATGGAAATCTGTAGCTCTAATTGATCTGTCATTTCCCTCACTAAACTGTTATTCTCCTGTCCCCTCAGTCAGCAAGGAGGAATTGGTCAGTCTTCGGGTCTAGGAGGAGGAGTTGCAAGAAGCAGTGGGATAGGAGGAGGAGGCATCATTAGGACAAGCCACACTTACACTTCGTCTGCCCAGATGCCAACCTGTGCAGCTGCGGAGATCCAAGGTGAGAACTGCCCCACTCTCAACACTTCACAGTCTCTGCTCTAATGCAACACACATGGGCAGGAAGAAAGAGCTTTCCCCTGTGGCTTACAGGTGCTGTTTGAAAGATTTATTGTGGGGCCCCTGGGAAATGCCAGCTGGGAGCCAGAGAGGAGTGGCTGAGAGGAGCTGTGACTCTGCTGGGATGCAGGAGAACTGCCAAAGGGAGGAGGGGAAGAGGGGTAGAAGGGAGAGGGACAGAGATAGCAGGCAGGAAAGCCATGGAGAAAGGACTGAGGTGAAATGTGGGACAAAGGAAGGAGCAGGAGTAAGCAGAGTGCCCAAGGAATCAGGGAGGGGAAAAAAGCAGGAATCACAGGAATGCTGGCAGATAGCTACTAGTTCTAGTTCAAGGGGAAACTCCAGTCAAGCTGAAAAGGAAAGAAAGAAATATGGTGACAGTTGACCAAGGAGATTGAGCATCGCAGGACCCCAGTGCCATTCCCTCCTCTGTATTGCTGCTGGAGTTTCCTTTCCTGTGCAGAAGGGCAGCCCAGGCTGCAGCCGGCGACAGATCCCTCTGCCTGGCTGGCAGGAGCCACCAGACCTTCCCAGGAAGGGGCAGTGTTTATCTGGAAGTCAGGGGAATTGGCCTGTGAAAGGATCCCGTGTGGGGAATGACAGTGTGGGAAAGAATCTATTTCTGCTACGAGCCCAGTGATGTTTCCTTTGATTCCTGTGCAGAAGGGCAGCCCAGGCTGCAGCCGGCGACAGATCCCTCTGCCTGGCTGGCAGGAGCCACCAGACCTTCCCAGGAAGGGGCAGTGTTTATCTGGAAGTCAGGGGAATTGGCCTGTGAAAGGATCCCGTGTGGGGAATGACAGTGTGGGAAAGAATCTATTTCTGCTACGAGCCCAGTGATGTTTCCTTTGATCTCTGCAGTGCCTTGCCGAAGGATTTGTGATTAAGGAGAGAAACAAGAAAACCCAAGAGAGGAGCCTGAAGCTCTTAGTGAAGAGAGAGAGTATTCAGTGCATGTGTCTGCAGAGGGCACGGGGCGTGCTCGTCTGCGCTGCTCAGCCGTGCTAAGCGATGTGCCACAGGGATGAGCAGAGCGTTGGGCCACATCCTGCTTTGGTTTGCTATTTGCTTTTCCAGTGTGTGTTGCTGCACGTGGCCCAGCACCATGGCTATGGCTGGGGTCAGCCACTGCTGTGATCACTAATGTACCTGCTGGGGGAAAAATGTCTCTAATAAAACTTTGCTTCTGCCTGATGCAATCAAGAACCTGTGTCTGAACCTGAGTTCCTTTAGGACACCACGTGCTGGTCCTTGCACAAAGGGCACCTAAACTGGTCAGGATCACTCTGGGAACAAAGCTGCTTTGCCAGTGGGAGCCAGAGAATGGCCTTGCTGACCTGGCAGGTCCTGTCCCTCTCCTCCCTGTTGTCACAGTCTGAGGCAGGTGTTGTCCACTCCTGCATGAACCACATGGACAGGCAGCTCTGCCCTTCCCACACAGCATTGGGCTAAAACACTGTTCTAGAACAGTTCTAAAAGTGGGTGGTGGAACATCTGGAGACAGATTACCTCAGCCCCACTCTGGTGCTGACACATCTGGGCTGAGCCCTCTCATACTTCATCACCCATTCCAGAGACTGTGATTAGGGTGAAGAGGAAATCTTGGTCTCCACAACTGATTCAATTTCTGCTGACATGGCTTATGTTCCAACCTATCCCTTTCATTCTATAGAAATCTTCCCATTGGGAAAAGGACTGGAGGCAGAAGACTTATCTCCTCTATTTTCACACACTGACTGAGTCATTTACTGGTCATCCTTCCATTGCAAAGAGTTTCAACCTGAACATCAGGAATGGTTGAAAGCTCATCTTTACATCAAACACACCTTGTCTGGGGAGCTGGGGAGGGCAGGGGGGAGGCTGAAAAGGTACAGCTCAGCAGAGAATAGAATGGAGAACAAAGCCAGGCAGAGCCTTTGGACACTCAGAGCCATCCAACCTCACAAGTAAGACAAGAATCAGTCCCTCCTTGGGCCTCGAGCAGCTGAGTTGGTGTGACCAGCACAATGGTGTGCTGTGTCCTGGCACTGACCTGCCCAGAGAATCCAGGGCAGCAGTGTGGTAACTCAGGGCCTGGGGCACTCGTGGTGGGTCAGCCATGGGCACTGGCCACGGTGAGCTGGCAGAGTCACTCTGGGTTTGGAGAGTTTTCAGTTACAAGCATTACAAGAGTGTTTTGAGGATTAAACTGTTGGTGCGGAAAGCCAAACAGTGATGGGTTTGACACATCCACTCCTCCCTGCAAACTCACAGCTCAAAGAGAAAGAGAAAACCTGCTTCAGGACTGTACATACAGTGTAGCTGGCACACTTCTCTACTGTCAGGTCTTTTACAGACACTAATTTCTTTGTTGCTACAGACTTCACACAGTAGGAAGTACCTGAAGAAGCTCAGCCACCCATGTCTCAGGGAGCACATGAAAGGTGCCCTTCTCCTGGTGTAAGAGGGCATGGCAAGAAGATGTCCTAGTGGTATTTCTTTTATTTCATCTACCAGACACTAAGTCAAATAGTCTCCAGGGGCAAGATAAGAAAATGCAGCACTGTAACAACTGCAATGACTTGGAAGAGTGGCCAAAGGTAGAAGTTTTTTAAACCAAAGCTCTAAATCAAGCCTTGTCTAAAGATCAGTTCCAGCCCTGCAGGATGTCCCAGACTTGATTCAGTGGACATGTACAGCCAGTGCTTCATGAGAGGTCAAAAGGGATATGTATTGTGGTTGTAAGGACAAATTTTCCATTGGACTCCTCTGGATGTCCCAGTTGTTCTCAGAGCTCTGGCTGAGAAGTCAGAAAGCAAAACCTTTTCGTTCCCACTGTGTCCTTCTGCCTTGTTCAGTGCAAAGACAGACAGTGAGATGACCCACTGCTGCCCTTTCCAGCCTCAATGTTCCCAATCTAGGAGTCCTTACTCCCTAGTTTCTAAAAATATAGACACTGCACTGAGGTTCTTCCAGTTTCCATTCTTCTGGAAGCCCTTGGCTACCTATGATGTATGAAAGCTTCCCACTTTCTCCTGGCTGCCCCAGCTGATTCCCACCTGTCCTGGGCTGGTTTCCTCCTCCTGCGAACTGCTACTGACATCTAGCTGCTCCTCTGGATTCCCTGAGCTCCTACCCAAGACCTTCCCACCCTCCCCACCAGGTCTGGCAGGTCCAAAGGGTGAACTTTCACAAAGTAGCTGTCCTAAATTCCAGAGAGCTGAAAGAGACCTAATGACACGACCAGCAGAACTCTAATGATCCAGAGGTTATGAATCTGCCCCTGGAAAGCCCCTGGGGGGTACAGACTCAGCCTCTGGGACGCTGTGATGTTGTTTGTGGACCTATGAGTTGGGATGAGTCTGGAAGGCAGCTCAGGAGAGGCACCTTGGCATAAACACCCTGGAAACACCCCATTTATTAAAGAGCTGCAAATTACGGAGCTGCAACCATTGGAAACTGCATTTCCATAAGATTTCCCTATTTCTTTGAGCTAATGAGTCAGACCCAGGAAGCTTCTGGGTTCAGGTAACTGAATGAAAACAGGAAGGAAAGCTTCATTTAATATTTTAAAGTCTCAGAACAATTACTTCATCTTAGTTTAGCTAGTTCTCTCATTGCCTGAAGATGAACAGGAAAACTAGGGAGGTGTGTGGTGTGAGGCTCCTGGGCAGGGGAGGCTGCTGAAGGCACTGAGAGGTGGGTCTGGGGGGCAGAGCTGCAGGCCCAGAGGGGATTGAGGTGCTCAGAGGAGCAGGTTGCTCTCTGCAACAGGCAGGCAGACACCCTCCCCTCCCACAGAGCACTAAGTCATCCCTTGTTTCTGCCTGCACTACACTGATGTGCTCAGTGATAACTGCGGAGCCAGGGCAGGAATGTGTCTCTCCCAGGAGAGAGATGCTGCAGCAGCTGTTGGGAAACTCCTGAGGAATCATCCCCAGAGCAGGTGAAGCTTCCAGCCATGCAGCTCGCAGCAGTTTCGGTTCATTCCTGCCACCACACCCTGACTCCCAATTATGTTCTCCAGTCCTAGCAATGAAATCCAGCTATCCCTTCCTACTTTATTAGAGCTTTTGCCTGTTCTGAGCTTTGCCTGTGTGTGTTCATGGCTGGAGTGAGGCACAGGGGCAGGCAGGGCAGGCTGACACTCAGGCACTGTGGTCTGGGCCCAGATGCATCTCTGCCAGCAGTGAGAGCTTTGCCTTGGAGTAAATCACTTGGAGCAAGTCTCTGTCTCTCCACACCCTTTCCAGCTCACTGGAGATACCTCTGGAATGCTGCTGGCTTTCATGCTGCTGGATAAGGAACATTCAAGGAGGCAGAGATAAGGGGAGGCATCTTTTCCACAGAAATAAGCATGAAATGATGGGTAAATCCATGAATACTGGGGGTAATTCAGTCCTTCAGTAAATGGGATTATTTACCTGCCATAATAACAGCTATTCCAACCCACAATCCTGACACTGAGTGAGGAGTTCAGCAAGGGTTGAAATGCCCTTGGTCCCTGGTGAAGCAGGTTTGGAGAATTTCTTACAGGGAATGGTTGGGGTCAGAGAGCTGTGGAATGCCTGTGCCTTGCTCCACAGCCACTGGCAAAGGGCTCCCTAGGGAGAAGGACATTGCTCTGGAGTCTCAGCAAAACAGCTCAGGAAAATAAGCTTAGCCTGAACTTTGATGTCAGAAGTGAAAGGATTCTTACTTTTTTTCCCCTGCCTAGTTAGGACTGGGAAATATTTGTGACAGGGAACCTCTGGTTTGCACTAGATCCACCTTCTCCAAGCCCCTACAGACCTGCACTGGGCAGCAGCTGCTCTGCAGCTCTGTCAGCACTTCTGTCTTTGTGTGTCCCAAAGCTCTGATTAGAACACAGCAGGTATTGACACAGAAATTGGCCAAGGGATATTTCCACTCCTATCCACTGCTCCAAACCAGCTTTCCCAGCAACAATTATGAGCCATAATGAAGAAAAGCACAGAAATTACTTTTCACCGAACAACAGGAAACATTTAAAGCACTTTTACCTTCCTTTACACTCTCTACATAATGAAACAAATCCTTTGTGAATTACTGGAGAGCCACAATCATAGATGCAGAACCTTTCATCCATGCCCATTAAGAGCTCCCTCCTTGGTCTCCCTCATCTCGCAGCACAGTGTTCCAGATTTGTCGTTTTGCCAGTGGAGAGATTCAAAGGTTAATCTCTGTGGCTCTGATCTTTCCACAGAGTTCTTACATCATTCCTCATACATCACTCGAGAGGCAAACTGAGTATTTCTCCTCTCTTTTTCATCTGACATATCCCAACCTCAGCAGCCTTGCACCAAAACTGCTTATTCAACTCCAAATAAAATGAAAATAAATTAATGAGAGATAAAGAGCTCTTTGATGCAATAACCTTTAATGATTTCTTCCTGGTATGTAATTTAGGACAGTGTTTTTCCTGGCTTAATGCAGTGAGTTTGCATCACAAACAAAAAGCTGATGATTCATAAAACATTATTGCTAATGTATTTTTGAAATTAGCAAGAGACATGTAAAGTATCTTCCTTGTCTACCAGGCTTCTTGAAAGGAAACTTCCCTTTGAGAAATTATTCTTGGCACCAATGGCTGGAGTAGCCAGCCCCATGGGAAGCAGCAGCAGGGGTGACACCCACTGTGGAAGGTATAAATAGGGATCGTCGGCCGCGGCCACTTCGCAGTCTGATCCCGGATCAAGCTGTGCACCTCGCTTGGGGCTTCTGCTTGCCTTTCCACCCTCTGTCGCCATGAGTTGCAACATTAAGGAGACTATTACTGTGTCTAGCAAAGGCAGGAGCAGTGGTGGCAGCTGTATCATTGGTGGTGGTGGTGGAGCACGGATTTCTTCCTACGGGATAGGCAGTGGCAGAGGCTTTTCTGGAAGGAGCTACTGCAGTGGAGTGAATTATGGAGGGGGACTGAGTGTTGGGAGCTTGGCTGGTGGGAGCTATGGAGGTGGCAACTGCTATGGCAATGGCCTCGGGTTTGGCCTCGGAGGTGGTGTGGTTGTTGGTGGTCTCGGTGGCGACTGTTTGCTTTCCTCCTGCGATGAGAAGGTCACCATGCAAAACCTCAATGACCGTTTGGCTTCCTACCTGGACAA